TTACCCTGTGAATTGGATATTGCAAAAGAACAGAGACTGCTGTCCTGGATAGGCAGTGTGGCAGGAGAGGAAGGCAGGGAATGAAATGAGGCTTTGTAAGCTTTTATGCTCAATAGAGCTACTTGTTGACTGGTATAAAACATTTATTTGGGGGGGCATAATGAGTATGTAATTGGGCAGTTGGGCAGTACAGTGATCAGGCTAGATTTTCCTTCTTTTGGCAGAGCATTGTGCATTCAACTTAGTATGTTATGAATTTCTGGAAAATGTTACTGCGCAGTTGGTGTATTCTCTGAGGCCACTGCTCTGTTAGGAAGATGGCAAGTTTTTATGCTTTTGTTTGCCTGTGGAAGGCAACCATATTTATTTCAATACAGCAGGCCACATAAAAATGCGGTGAAGAAAAATTATGATTTGTCTTATTACTTCTACATGTGGCAAATCAAAATGGCCATGATAGGCTGTGTAGTTACTGCTGGGACATTGGGTATTGTGTTCCTATTGTGCTGCTTTATTTACTCCCATATGCAGTACTTCAGAAAATGTTCCGGACAAAGATTTGCACTGAACTAAAAAAGCCAGTTGAAATACTTAAGACATTTTAATTTAGGCTTATCCTAGATAAGTTTCTATCATTTTCACTGTTTAAACAAGTCTTAATTAGTTATCTCCATAAAATATCATCTTGCTGTTTTCTCTGTTAACAACTAGTTAGTGTCTGTCAGTTGGGTAGTATTTGTTCTATTGAGGAAGTTCAGGTTCTGATATTGTCTCCAGTTTAATGGATTTGATTGCATGTTAGCTGAGAGTTGGAACATAGGTTCATGGAACAGTATGTATGACATTGACACAAATGGAATGAACTTCCTTGCTTTTCTGCTGCCCAGTGTTTCTTTCCACATGCTTGGTTTCTGGGCACAGAAAAGATGACTCTCCTTCCTAAATCCCTGTTCCCTCTGGAGGGACTGAAGGGGCGGATTGCCTTTGAGTTCCAGCTGGTGAGCATTTGTAAACTTTCTTGGTATTATCTGCACTGACACGTTTTATTATGGTTGTAAGAGTTAGGATATTGACAGGGATTTTATCAGTTGTTTTATTAGAACAGTCCAATCCTTAACTAACTCAGAATATTGAGTTTTTCATAATTTCAGAGTTGAAGTGGTGTTAATGGAGATATTAATTAAATGTGATAATTACTAGAGAAAGTTGACTGTGTTGCAAAGTGGAATATTCTTACTTCTCTCTATGTTATATCTGTTTTTCAAGTTCAGCACAGTGTTGAACCCTTGTTGCAGTTCAAACTGTCTTGGATTCAGCAGTTTGGATCTGGAAACTACTTAAAGTGAGTCTTGGCATGACAGAATCTCAGATATGTAGTAGGCATTAAGTCACAGCCCAGTTTTTTAATTGGTTCCCAGAACCTTGCTCTTTGTGCTTTCTGGTGATTTTCATGCATTAGTAAGGAGGATGTGATTGTTTGAAAGACTAGGTGATGGCTTTGATATATTAACCCTGACTCTGACCGGCACTAGGACTTGTTCATCATTAGGATTAGTGTTAGTGAAGGCTTGCTCACACAGTTGCACCACTTCAGTTTTATGTAACTGTAGTGCTGATGCCCTTCTTGGCCATCTTCCAGTTAGGAGTAGCTCTTTCCAACTTTCAAAATAATGATTAAGCTGAGGAAACTCAGCGTGATGATGCAGTAAACATTTCCATGGGGAGTTCTGTAACTGAGTTGGAGTATTCATAACACAATGTGAATTTCCCTGTGGTGCATCAAAAATATATATTTGCAATTGCTGAATCTTAAGATACATTAACAAGAACTTTAAAAATAAGTCTTTGTCCCTTCTTCTTGAAGAAAGTGGAACCAGTAACGAATGTCTAAGTGTAAGAGGAAAAGGTGAGAAGTGCTATAAGGGACTGTCTTGAGGGACAGTAGTGTGCTGTCTACCTTATTGGTCCTGTTTCTGGAATATGAATTAGTCTTTTCTCATGATCTACTTTGCCAGGCATGCAGCTGGGAGATGCAGAGCTGACTGCAAGTCACAGCCACTGTAAGATGACTTGGGATTAGGCTTTGCTAAAGGTGAAGGCATTCAAGTCAGGGGAACCCCCACATCTTTTCAGAGGTAGACCTCCACTTGCAGGTTGCTTTCTGCATGCCGTTTTAACTTAGTGGCCTTTAAAAGATCTTCTACAACTTTCCCAGGCAGCCTGAGCTGGCACTGCTTGCTTGGCTGGGTTGTCAGATTCCTAGATGACTGTTGTGCATGGATTTAACTGCATACTAAAACCTTGCTGCCTCAGTATAAAAAGGTAATTTGGCAATATGGTTTTCATGTTTACGTAGAATCTTTAAGGTCTTAACTTTTATGAAGTGCCTAAAACTCTTGTTCTCCAGAGTACATTTGCTTTGGTCTTGGAAGCTTCCCAGCAGCAAACATGAGTTCAGAAGTCCTTTCATATGCTCATTTCTGAATTTCAGGTACAGATCCAAACGTAAAGCAGTATTATGCATAAAATAAAATGGAGGTGTGGGTGGTGAACCTGCACCTGTAATTGTACTGTGTAATTGTCTTGGGCACCATCGGGAATGTATTTATGGTTGGCCCTGTAAATGCCCACATGGCTTGTCCTGGTGACCTGAGGCAGTAGGTATTGCTGGAGCAGCCACGGTCAGTTTTTATACAGCTGAGGCCCGTCAGCTCGGACAGGATCCCTGCTGGGTGGAGCCTCTGGGTGTGCAGTCTGGGAGGATTGCAGCTCAGCACAGAGGGGCCCAGGGGCCCCTTGTGAATAAAGTGCTGTGTAGTAGGTGTTTCTGCTATCGGGGCCAGCTGCAGGTGGGTGTGACTGCTGCGGCTGCTCTGATACTTGCTTGGTGACTCAGTTCGGGCCGGGCACAGTGTGAGATGGAGGGGGCATGTGCTGAGCTGATAGAACACATGAGGTCTGAAACTCTGCACAGGGAATTTGAGGGGTTTGTTTGTGCGTTGGGTAGAACTGGCTTTAAAATATTTCACTGATTTAATAGGTATGTTGTTGGCTCTTACTCGTGTTTGGAAAATGAGTGTTAGATTCACTGTGGTGCTGTATTTAGACCACTGGAGTATTTAAGTATAACCATGTACCTCTTCAGTATGTTGAACAACATGCAGTGTTCCTGCATCCATGCTATGGGATTACAGTAAATTAAGTACATTGGTGTTTTCTGACATTTTGAAGGGACTATGATCAAACTATTCAAACAGGCCATCTGGTAAATTTTCATCTTGTTTTTCCTTAAAAAAGGGAGATGACTTTATCTCGTAGTAGAAATTAATTAATATGTCTGCGTTGAGCAACCTACGGAAATACATAAAGAAATTTTAATTATTTTATCTCAGTGGAAGGGTATAGTAAATAAATAAAAACTTAACAGTATGATTGATACAAAAATATTAAACAGCTATCTCACTCCCTAATCAGTGTCTAAAAAAAAATTTAGGCTGTTGGTGTGACTGAGGAATACAGACTAGTAATTACAATATACTACTTATATTTAGGGGAATTAAATATGTCTATTTTTATAAATATATTTTTTGTTGTTATGCCTGTGCATCACGAGTGTGTGATGTTGTGGGTATTGCTTTGACAAGCCCAATGGTAAGTCATTCTACCTGGCTTCTAAGCGTGCAAGATACTTTTGGTGTAGGACTAATTACCTAGCTCCTGGAAGGCGGTTATTTGAGTATGAGACTTACTCTGTTTTCCTTTTTTTTGTCACCCTCCATAGCCTTAAAGAGAATAACATACAGTTTTAGTCAAGACGGTGTGGGGAAAGGTTTTGAGATACTGATGGTTCAGGTTGCTGTAACACGTGTGCAGAATGACCTTTAACCTTTGTAAGGTACTGAACAGGTTAATCATGGTGTTGTACCTCTTTGCTTTTGTGGTGGACTGTTTTTCTAACCTGCAGGGTTAGAGGTGGGGAGGAAGAAATTTTTGAAATAGTAATTTGTCAGTGCTTGTGTAGTCAGAAGGCTCAGAAGACAGAATTTGGATTATAATATCTCTAATTCTGCACCATGCTATGTCATTTAGTCATTGTCTCTTTGTGTCGCTCTTGGAAGACTTTAACACAATTTTTTTTTTTATTACTCCATTTGCTCACACTTATCAGTCCACTTAAGTAGACTGTTCTTTACTGTAGTTGCCCATAAGATCCACTCTTTGCCATTTGCAAAGCACTTTGACTTCATATGTGGAACTGTTCAGATGATTTGAGCTTAGGCACAGATCCAGATCTAAAAGATGTTGAGAATTATCTCTTTCCATTTCAGCTGGGATTTTTTGTGTTTAAGTGTTTTCATATTGAGGAAAACTGGCTTACCTTGAGAAGTAGTTGGTAGGGAGGCCAGAAGCAGGAGGAGTTTAGGAAATGCTGCTTTTGGTATTCTAGATGTCAATACCTTTATTGCAGAGACTGAGGTGCAGGAAAATTTGGTCTGATCTGTATGCATAAAGAGTTACCTAGAAGTAGTTACAAGTAGTCTCAGTGGTTAAGAAAACAGCATTGCTTCAGTGAACTTACAGCCTGATTTTGTGCATCTGTGTAGGCTGTTGATAAGCCTGTTAAACTTTCTGACTTAATGTTGAGGAGAAAATGCCTGTTAATTTCTGAATTGGCATGTTAGGACTCTTCAAAGTGTCAAAAGTTATAGAGGCTACTTGTTTGCTTGTAATGGAATAAAGTTTGAGAGTAAGACCAGTGAAAGGACATAACTGCATTATTGTAACTAGAAAGGCAAAGTGAGTTTTACTCTATGTGAAAAGAAATATGCATGTGGTCTCCTGAAATACTTCTGCATCTGAACTATGCTGTGGTCCAGGCTGTGGACAACTTACTTTCTCCCCTCCCCTCCCCTCTTCATTGCCCTTCTACCTCCTTAGAATGTAGACTGTTAATTTTTTTGAAAACATACATTGTGAACAGTCTTTCTTTTTTCCTTTAGGGACCAGTTACTCTCCACAAGAAAATTCACACAACCACAGTGCTCTTCATAGTTCAAATTCACATTCTTCTAATCCCAGCAATAATCCAAGCAAAACTTCTGATGCAGTGAGTATTTGTGATTGGTATTCATCCCTGTGCCACCCCATTCATACACACTATATTTTTATAATTTTATGTAAGACAAGCAGCATGTACATTACCTGTTTCACTGAGTTTTACAACTTAAGGCTTTATTTTATAAACACTCTATAAATTCAAGATGCAGTTGTTGTAAAACAATTCTGATTGATAATCATTAGAGCTTCGAGCTACCTACCTTTACTTTTAAAATACTAGATTATTTAAATTAAAGAAGAAATACTTTCCATGACCTTTATGGTAAATCCGGAGAAGACAGTATGATTTTACTTATTTAAGATGCACTGTGCATTTTAGTCACTTTATTATCCAAGGTTTAGTAGTTAAGGTAGTGTTTGTTAAAAATTGCACTAAAACAAAATAGGTAAATTTGCAATGTATAGAAAAATTTTGAAAATGCAATAATTTTTGAGGAAATTTTAAGGTGAAGGAAACTAATATTATCAATATTGACATTACTCCATCTCACTAAACATACTATTAGATTTTTGTTTAAGAGGAAACTTGCAGAATGCAGTGGGAGCATAGTGGTCACATCCTCAGGCTGTCAGTGAAACAGGCATTTAGAGATGGTGTAAATGGAAAACAGTGATGCAAATGGATATAAGGATGCCGTGTAGTTTTAAAAACAATGAAAACTCTTAAATTTGTATATTAAAACTCTCAAGTGGTCTTTTGTCCAACACTGTTTGTACTTTAAAGGCTTATGATTCTGCGGATGATTGGTCTGAACACATCAGCTCTTCAGGCAAAAAATACTACTACAACTGCCGAACAGAAGTTTCACAATGGGAAAAACCAAAAGAGTGGCTGGAAAGGTATGTGCTTGTGTTTGTTTTAATTGTATAAGGAACAAATATTCTTAAGTTTGTTTAAGAGTTGAGCTTATCTAATAGATTACTGCTATAACAGATTGTGGTCTAAGTCTGCCGTGTTTCTACCCTTACTGTGACCTCTGGCACTTATTTTATCCCATAACAATCCAAAGCCTGAGGGGGAAGTATGGTTGGTTTGTTTGTTTTGATTTTTGGTGAGTGATGTTTTTTTAAGTTTTGTTTTGAGTTGTTCTGTTTTCATTTTTTTTTTGTCAGTGTTAGTGAGCTGAACTGGTTCATTGTGGGCTTCAACAAGCACGGGTGTAAGGAAGCAGTGGCCGGAGTTTGCCAACCCTGCCTGTAGCAGCAAGCTCTTAGAGCAGTTTAATTCATCTCATGTTAACTTCACCCGTAGAAACTGTTATATTATTAGATGATCTAAGTTCTTACTTAACTTTTGTTTTCTTTTCTTCAGAGAGCAGAGACAAAAAGAAGCAAGCAAAATGTCAGTTAACAGTTTTCCAAAAGATAGGGATTACAGAAGAGAGGTGATGCAGGCGACAGCTGCCAGTGGGTTTGCCAGTGGAAGTATGTGGTTTTTTTACAGCAATATGTTCTTGCCTTGTTTGCATTACTGTTTTCTTTTCCAAACTTAAAAAATTTAAAAAATCCCTTTTCTTAGCTGTTTTTCTCACCTTTTTATGTATAAAAGCAAAAGTGGATAGCACAGTCAGCTCTCCCAAATGTTGTTTCTTAAAATAACTTTAAGCCTTTACTAGTGTAACACTTGCTTAGTGCTGTTCGTGGTGCTTCTTCTTTTTGCAGCTTTTACTGCCTAATTTAATTATCTTCATGGGCAGTTATCTAAAAAACTTGCACAATTTATAGTTTAGTTGGACTGTCGTGATCATTGAGACCTACCAATGTCATATTTTGAGCTTAAAAATAGAGATGCAGAGGTCTCTTTTAAAGCCTTGATTTCACATCTGAAAATAATAGGCTAATTTAGTGGATTATGATATCAGAGTTTTTAGAGGCTTGTATATGTTATTGCAAGTATGTTTTTACTGCACCAATACTCTTAGCAAAACCTTTCCTGCACTATGAATTTCTGTAACTTTGAAATTTTTTTCCTGATACCTAGCTTTAATCTTTGTCAATTCAATTTTTTTGTGGAAAATAGTTGTACTGTGGGATTCTGTCTGTATGCTGATGTCGTTTGGGTGAATTTGTAGCATAGTTCTCAGGATGATTTAAAAGTAGAAGTCAGAGTATTAATCTTCCCCCACAATCTTGGGACCTGACGACGTAGGGATGTATAAAGGACTGTTTTTCTGTGTATAGTGAAACGTACTGCATGTGCTAAAACATACTGAATGCTACAAAAAGATAGCAGACATGCATAATGCAGTATTTGTTTTGAGACAGATGACAATCTAAGAATCTATAAAAAGACTTACTCTGTATTGCTTGGTGTGTTCCCTGTGGAGCATATTTTAAAGTCTTATGATTGTGTGACAAATGCAGATTAGTCACTCATTTAGTATATATAGTTGTCTTGAATTAATTCAACTGTAAGTAAATTTGTTTTAATACTTAAGTGACGTGAAGAGGAATTCTTTGAAGGCTAGAATTTAAAACTTATACTTGATGTTCAGGATTTTCAGCGAACAAAAGAAAAATGGCACAAATTATCTCTTCACACTAAATACAAGATGGAAATAATAGATTTTGATTTAGATTTTTTTTAGGCGACTTCAAAAGTTAACTTGATTGTAACACTTGTTATAAAGCAGCTTTCATCAAAACACAGTGCTTAACCGGAACTCTAAATCAAGCAAAGGTCAGAAAATGCATTTTGTCAGTGAGTAGAATTAAATTTTGCCTTTTTTGATGCTGATCTACTAAAAGCTTTTTTTAATCATAAGAAGTTCAATCAGCTCTAGTTGTTGGTGTGCAGCTGTATTAATCAAAGTCTCTGCACTTTGACTCATTTCTAATTTATTCCTTTTTTTCTTATTGCAACGTTACTTGGGGAATCCTGAAAAAAGTGGAAGACAAGCATTCCAGTGACACCAGCAGTATGCTCCCACAGAATATTTTATCCCAGACAAGCAGGCACAATGACAGAGACTACAGACTGCCAAGGGCAGAGACTCACAGTAGTTCTACTCCAGTACAGCATCCCATCAAACCAGTGGTTCATCCAACTGCTACCCCAAGCACTGTTCCTCCTAGTCCATTTTCTCTACAATCTGATCACCAGCCAAAGAAATCCTTTGATGCTAATGGAGCATCTACTTTATCAAAACTGTCTACATCCACATCTTCCATCCCTGCACAGAAAACAGAGAGAAAAGGTATGTCAGATGAAATTGCCTCTAGTATTCAAGGTGATGTATTGCATTTACATTGCTTCTTCAAAGTATGCTAGTTCTAGAATTGAAAGATATTTTTCCTGTTTGATTGTGTGTGCTTAGAACCTGATTACTGTTTGATGAGTTTATTTCCTCCTAAACCACGTTTGCTGTATCTTCTACAACTTAAAATTGACACTGCAGTATTTGCTATTTACTAGCTTGTTCTGCAAATTAACATTTCAAATTGTAATTTGAAAAAATGTATTTTAGTAGGACATATTTTATTTTTTGTCTTCTCTCTTGTTTTGGATCTTTGCCATTTATTTGACTTCTTTACATAGATGTAGTTACACTATTTGCAAGTCATTTTGGACCATTATGTTTTATGAACTGCTGTTACTGTTTGGAATGCCAGTGTCAAATCTTTCAATCAACACAAGTGCAATTCTTAGAGGAAGTGAGACAGTTCTCTCCATGTAACAGCAATTCTTCTGTTTTGATCTGTATCTTGTGAAATATTGGATCTTCAGTTATAAAGCTGCTGAAAGTTTGTGTTTCTGTGTAATACCGATTATAAACAGTTTGAGTCAAGAAGTGAAGATCAGGACTTCACTGTGCATTGTCTGTGACCCTTTAAAAGTCTGTATTTTGGTTAGATTTACTTCATTACGAGGAAAGAAGAGCTCAAGAAGATTGTGAGAATGAGATTTGTGTCATTAGTGATAGTGTGATGCTTGGTATAGTTGAGTTTTTTCGGAGTGGTATTGTATACAAAAATGATATTTTGAGGTCTTTGGGAGAGAAAAAAATAATTATTGATAATCATGGTGGGTTTTACTTTAAAATATTGCATAATTAGTATGTCACTGTATTTTTTTTGGGAAGATGGCTCGTTCCCCTGTTCATATTTGCACGTTGGTTTAATTAGAGAAAAATAGCGTAGTTTTAAAAAGACGACCAGAACAGACTCTGGTCTGACACTGGTCTTGTATTCTGTTTTAGGGCCTTCCAGTTTTCTTTATTAAAGAATTCCAGCTTTTACACAGAGATAAGAGTACCTGACCATCCAAAATATTTAGCCAATACTACATGTTGACAAATACTGCAGTGTAAGACAATTGTGCATGTAAAGAAATGTTTTTAATGCTTCTTGAGACTTCATGCAATTTTTGCATGACTTGGGTCACAAATGCTGACTGTAAACTACAGAGGAACAGACTATTTTCAGCAAGCCTTTTTCTAGTCAACACAGTAAAGTGTGAAGTAAGGTGTACTAGTTCATGCATGGTTCTTATCTCGAGTACAGTAGTTACCTACTTCAATTAAAGCTCTATGTTCTGATCACAATTTGATGCACTTCTAAACATTACAGTGCAAAACATCCATGTCAAGCATTCTCTTCTTTAGTGTATCTACTCTATATCTATATCTAAAATACACTTTAAGAAAACCCTTATTAAGACTCAGTTCTGGCATATTCTTGCTTCCTTTTTGGTGTGTGATCAGACTTCAGACTGGATATTCTTTCCCTGCTTTACTGTACATCTTTATTAACTGAGCAACTGACTCTTTCAGCAATTGAAGAAACTTCCCATTGTGACAACTGCTACAAATGTTGTCAGTGTGTTCTAATATTTCTTGCATACAACATTAATTTGAGAGCATACAATTGGATATGAAGAGTGAAAATGATCACTCAGAGCAATCTTGACACTGTAGATCTTACTTTAGAATCTGTGTTACCATGCATGGTTCCATATTAAATAATTCACTTAACTTCTCTATTCCTAGGTAGATGGTTTTTTAATTCTGTATGGGTTAAATGGGTAGATTCTGTGTAATACTCATGCCTCATTGATCTAAGTGTTTCATGGCACTTGATTGTGAGCAAATATTGTACTTGTTGAGACAGGGTGGATTACAGAAAGTTAGTAAATAATTGAAGAATTAGAATAGGTGAATGTCAGGCTTGAAATTCTTGTTCTAGAAAACGTGAGTTTTTACATGTTGGTTGAATTTACCTCTTACAGAAACAGAAAAATTCAGTGCAGGTTCTGTCATGATAAGAGATCATTCAGAGAGTATATTCGGTTGACTTGGCTTTTTCTTGTTTTGGGAGTGTTGGACTTTCTTTTTAAGGAAATGTAACCAGTAAATTTTCTGTAGCATTTTGCTTATTTAAATTTAAAAGAAGGAAAGAAGCAGTGTTTTGGATGGTTTACTTCTGTTACTCATTCTCTCAGAGGTGACTGTGAACCTGCAGTCTTACAAGGTATTTGTTTGTAGCTGTTATACTAAATGAAAATAATTGTCCTGAGACACTTGGTTCGAACAGTCTTATAAAAGTGTCTTTGTAGAACTGAAAAATAGTTTGAGAGGTTTATTTTTACACTAGTAAAGCAAACAAACAGCCTTTGATCTTTTTCTCTTCACTGACTGTACCATCCCTCTGTCTTTCTAAAAAGAGGTAAAGCTGTATTTTTTTGCCTATAAAAACAGCTTGGTCCAAATGACTGAATAATATATGCAGTAGTCCTTGCTTAAATGAATTCTTGCTTCTTGTCAATGTGTTGCTGGCAGCCTTATGCCAGCATATGTGTACCACTGTTTTAATAGTTCTGGTTTCAGTGTGTGTATTTTTTAATGCAGTAATAGTTATGAACAGCAGAACAACAAAAAACCACAAAACCCAAAAACAATGCTTTTTTCAGCTCAATCTCTTTTGCTGCAGGGGTATGTTGTAGTCCCACAAGGAGATTGAATAAAATCCCTGGCTGAACTATAGCTCAGCTGTTAGCAGTAGTCCTCTGCCCTCAATGGCTGGCAGTAGTGGAGAGTTCCTGGGGAACTATTTGACCTCTACCCTTTGGTTTGAATGTTCCAGTCAGAATCTGCTGCTTCTGTTTGTGCTCACTGTGAGTGCTTTATGCAGGTAAAGTGTGGGGTTGCTTTTCCTACTTTTTGGCTGCTTTATCTGTAGGGCACATCCCATTTTCCTATTTCTAATTCAGTTACTGAATGAAATGTTGTATTGTCCATATCTTAACAGTGTGTCTGTCTGTAGGATACTACTTCTCACACCTTTACTCCAAATCCCATCAGGCAGCACTTCTGTTTCTAGAGCAGCAATATTCTAAAACTTATGACAGAAGAGAGCAAGCTGGCCAGTGCAATGCTGGGTGGGTTTTGACCTTGATGCTTCTGATCCTTTTCTCACCCCCGTGGTTTTCTTACTTGTAACACTTGCTAGTCTTTAGCGGTCAGTTATTAACATTGCTTCTGGTATCGTTGCATCTTCTTTGGCTGACTTTTGCAGTTTTAAGTGTATTATTAAGCGTATTACTCAATCCATGTGGTGGTTAGAAAAAGTTACGTGTGTGAGACTGTTGGAAGTTTCTTCCAGTACCTTCTACTTGTTTGCTGAGCATTGCTGTTACATTTATTTCGGTGGCAGAGGTAAAATACAAAAATTTGGTTTTAAGACTGGTATAATTCGAATGTGAAAAAGAGGGAATTTTTTGTATTTTAGATCATTTGAATGTATTTGAGAATGCAGTTACTCTTGTTGCCATAATTTCATTTGGCCAAATGCGTTTACAGAATGCATTGCCTTTAAATATTTATTTATTTCTGTTGTGGCTTAAGGCCCTTAGTAGATCAGAACTGAAGTATGTAAAACAGATAAATGTGACTGTCAGTGCTCAGAGAACTTAGTTGATGGACTGTACACTTCAGGTACTTCAGCAAAGAAAATGTGTTATGATTCTTAATCATCAGCAGAAAATGGAGCAGTTCTGTTAGCTGTTCTGTTGTTTAATCATTGGAGCAGAGATGAGGTTTATGGGGCAATAAGGCATGAATTTCTGAAAATTTAGTAATGTGGTTTTCCTCCCACAGAGAGCACACGTGCACGGTCGTTGCTAGCAGTGCAAAGAGAACAGCTCCAGCTCACAATAGAGTGGTTGGGTAAAACTGTACAGTTGAATCCAAAGGACTTTGAATCCATTTGTTTTGTTTTAAATGGCATAAAAATTACATCATTAGTGAAAGCTATTGGAACACTCAAAGGGTCACTTTAATAATTTACAAATTGTCTAGTCAACAGTATTTGCCACGTCATTGAAATAAATTAGAAGAGCAAGCCACATATAGCAGTATTTTAAAGCTCATGTAGGGAGTGCTAGTGTGATAGGTGTCACAAAGAGCACTGTGAAGGAAGGCCCTTCCTCCTCAAAAATGCATTTCCACTTTTTGATTCTTCTCTCCCCACGCAGTTCTCTGTGGCACTGACATGCCTCCTGAACTCAGCACACTGTAGGCAAGAAGGGAGTAAGCAAATGCTGGGGACAGGTACTCGAAGGACTCCAGCCGACAGAACAGGGTGACCGAGGCACAGCAGAGGTGCAGGACTTCATGCAAACAGAGTAGCTGAACAGTCAGAATGCTTAGTTTTTCACCCCTCTGCATTAAACATAGTAGGCTTAGGATTGTGTTTCAGAATGTTGGTCACTAGTGGATCAGCTCTTTGCTTAGGACCAAGGATTCTTGTCATAAGAGGCGGAGCTTGGTGATGGCAAGATGCAGCAGCGTTTTTATGTACTTCCTCAAACTCTGAGAAACTGAGGTGTCTAGGTTGTAACTGAAGAACATTGTGGCCCAACTGCTGAAAATGATCTTTTATTTTTTACTGAAAGGATTGCTTGGCCATGTTATTTAAAAATTCCCACTACTTGGAAAAATCACAATATTTCCATTCTGACTTGACATGGTATTTCTGCTTCAGATACCTCTTTGCAAAACTTGGAGAAAAGATGCACCTGTGTTATACAGGTTCTTGTCGTAGGAAGTACTGACTGCTGACTTGGAATTCTGTCCTTTTTGTCCAAAAGATGTGATTGCAGGTTATGAATACAAAGCTCTTCCATAATCACTGTGGTCGTAAAAAATTATTTTCATTACAGAAAAGTTTCTTCTGACTCCATTTTAATGTTAAACCAATG